CCCCCGTCAGCCAGATTATTAACTCTGATAAATTTTTAGTAAAAGAATCACCACTAAAATAAATTAAAAACTAAATAATGACGCTTCACACGACATTGTAAAATATGTTGAGCAAATACAAATGGGTGCAGACACGTTAACTTTTAACTTGTCATGAATCATTTTTTTCTTTTTTTTTAATGTATCTTCCATTAAACATATTTTCTCACTTTACTGACAAATGTCAAAATCAAAAAAAAACTAGCACAGCTACTGGTCACTTACCTTTTGCCTTTTATTTTTAAAATTAAAAAAAACTGAGCTATTCAATATGCAATATTTCTAGGAAATCTATATAGTATTTAAAAGTGGAAAATCACTCAAGCCAAACTGTTTTTCTTCAAAAAAGAAACAAAAATTATACTAAGTTGATAAGTGAACTTGCAACTTGCTTCTATTGCAAAGTTTTGGTCCCTGCATTCAAGTAATACAATCAAAGTTTTTTATCTTCATAAAATGTATCAGTATAAAGTGGTATGTGCAAATCCAGATGCAGTTGATCCTAGGTTGACTTCTTTATTCAAACACACATGGTATTTCGATTCAACTCTGATTCCTTCAGCTTTGTAATGGTGTAATGGTGTTACATTTGAAAAGAAAAAAGAAGTATATATAGATTATTTCAAAAAATTGTTTTTCTTAATTGATGAACTATAACAAATTTAAAAAAATTCTTTTTAAAAAATTGAAAATATGAATATATATTTTTAATAAATATAAGTAAGATTATATATTTTTAAAACATTGAAAATATGATTATATAAGTTATATAAGTCAAATGTCAAATTATTAGGCATTTTTTGTTCAATGAGCCTGTAAAGCTTTTCTTTGCGTAACTTTTTCAAATTTTTTTTAAATTTAAAAAACATGCAACCTAAAATCAAAGTTTCGACAAAATCGGAGTAGATTTAAAGATATAAATTTTCCAAAATATTAAGATTTAATTTGCGCTCAAAGCGTTTTAAAAATTTTATTTTTTTGAACACCACTTATAAAGCAAGTTTATTTTCTACCGTTAACTATCTTCTGTTAACTTGATTTGATCCTCCCGTATTTTTTCTAGTATTCTAAGAAATACAAGGTTTAAATTTGTTATATAATTTATCGTATAATTTATAATACAATATAACTTGATTTATAGTTTGGTAATTTATTTTAAATTTCTTTAAACACTTTGACTGCGGGCGAAACTTTCGATTTCACTTAAAGCCATTCTCCTGTTTGTAACGAAAGATTTAGTTTTGCATAAAATACTTTTAATAAAGTCCTGAAATCCAGCATGCATTGCGTAAAATATTATGGGATTAACGCAAGAGTTTGATACGTTGATAACTTTCAAAAAAGAATTTAAATCTAGTAATGATTTGGAGCTATTAATACCAGAACCAACTATCCACGACATCAGATAAACAAAATGAAGAACATCTCTAGGTAATGTTAATAGAAAAAAAACAAAAGTTATGACAATCAATAATCGAATTATTCGCCTATTGTCTTTTCTATCTTCTCGTTTGCAACCCATTGTTTTTGATACTATGCGATAGTTGCTAAAACTTATAACAGATAATAACGTGCAATCGTTTACCAAGAAGTAAATAATAGTTGGGATGCTATACGCTTTGTTACTTGGGTCAACTACCATACATCTGCTATCTTTTAATGAAATGTTAATTGAATAATAAATATTTATAATAAGTGCGTAAAAAAGCACAAAAAGAAGACTTATTTTAACGTGTGAAAGTTTGAAGTTTCTCTTAAATGGATAAACAATGGCGCGGTGTCGATCAAACGACAACACCGCAATAATTCCACCGGACATTGTCGTAGCAACTGTTCCTAAAGGGACCAATATCTTACAACTCCAATAACCTAAGTACCATTTATAATCTGTAACAATCCAATACATATACAAAACAGGGTTTAACGCAGCAGCAAAGAAATCAACAAGTGCTAACATGCTAAATAAATATTCAGTAATTATGCGATTTTCAATAGTTATCCCTCTTGGTTTATATTTCAAGCGAAAGTAAAACAAAATTAACCCGTTTCCTATTGTACCAAATATAAAATTAATTGCGAACAATGTGAATATGATTATGTTGATTGTAGCAAGTTTTTCATTTTTTATTTCGTAATTGTTAATTTTTGTTGTAGAAAAATTTGTCGAAACTTTCTCCATTCTTTTTCAACAAAACAGATAAAAGTGCTCTTTTTACGGAGTTATTTAAATCTTCATAAATTCTTTATAAATTTTTTTAATTCTTCCATTAGAAATTCTTAGGACTATGTAATAAATATCTCTCTTTTTTTATTTTTGTTTACATTTTTATATTGCATAATTGGTTGTATCTCAATTTAAGTTTGTTAAGAGTGTTGCTAAGTGACGTTATTACCATTGATAAATATTAATTTTATAAATAAAATTGTGATTTCCTATTCCTATTCATTTATTTTTGTATTAATAAATGTGTTAAAATTATTATTAATAAATTATTAGTAAATGATGCTGATAAAATGTACGATTTGTTAAAAATTGATCGCAGTGAATGACAATAAAAATAATATAATAGTGTTTTCAGTTTTACAAGCATTCCGGACTAATGCCCTAAGCGCACTACAGTAGTATATTAAATCACTTCACCAGTAACTGGTGAAGTGATTTAATACTGCTCAGTCAGGATTAAATGATTATCACCGTGAATATAAGGCATATGATTGCATGGTAACAAATGTTTTGATGACTTAAGGATTCAACGAGAGGATTTAATGAAGTTCAATGCATATTTTGTTAATCCTTTTTTTTTTATTGGAAAGCAGTGTGGTGAGTGCAATAATATAAATGATAAAATTTTTTTTGTTAAGAATTAAAAAATTTATTTGAATTATGCATGATATAAAATAAGCGCAGGAATGAAAACTGTAAAAAAAAAATACCATGAATTATTATTCATGTAATTTTGAATTATAGAATTTATAATAAGTATATTATAATAGATATATTAGATTGTATAAAATTAAAAAATATATCATAATATTATTATTTGTTGCAAGTTTTAATATCATTCAAATGTACTATATTCAAGAAATTCAAATGCATCATATATCATTTATTGTAAACAATAAAGTCTATGCACCATTTTTTTATCATAAAGGAATTTTATTAGCTTTTATTTCAAGATATTAACGCTCAATTAAATTTGATTAAATTATCTTAAAGAATTGAATTTCTTTCACTATACTATAAATTTAATAGAATGATAAAAGAAAGCCTACACTTCTATACTTTGATAAATTTAAAATATTTCTTTCTGAATGGGTATGAAGGGTTGGAGGTTGTGAATAGAGCATTTGTATTGTATGCACCAGCCAAAAGGTTTTTATAAAGTGTGTTAAAGGTCATAATGGTTTGATTGCTTTTAAAAATATCTAAAGCATCACGAGTGTCAGGTTTGCATTAGACTATTAGGTCCTAGTTCTTTCATGCAAGACTTTAAAAAAATTTAAGTACGAGTTTTATTCAAGTTATATCTAAAAGCCGCCCTGGACGAACTCAGCCCTGCCCCAAAACTTTAAAAGCCAGCTAAGGTAAAAAATGGGTTCACAAGTATTAAGTAAATTTATCGTTTGAAGTATTTTTCTTAAAATTAAACAAAAAGCAGTAACAGTAGTTTATTTGTTCAAATGCGTCGGCTACAGGAAAACATGGTATACAAAGAATGACAAGGTGCGAATGCATTATAACACCAACGAATGTACTGATCGAATTGTGACCAATTTATACGTGTACCACGGGGTTTAACACAAAACGGGATGTCACATATATCTTCGTCATCGAAGTTATATCTTCGTCATTGAATGTCACATTTATCATCGTCATCGCGCTAAACTTGTGCGTTGCACAAGTTTAGAGCGAATGTACTGACGGTATAGAATGAAACAATCGTTTACGGTCACAAATGTAACAATTGTCAAATCTACAATACTGATGTTAACATTGTTGGTAACAGCTTTTGCTAATGTTAATGGAAATAAACGCACAACAATTTTAATTGAGTTGTTGAGGTGCATTAAAATTAATTTTATCCTATACTCCAAGTTCATTAGTAACAGATGACTGCGATATTCAAAGAATTATCCCCAATAAGAGAACCATTTAGATTTTTGGGTCTGGCCAGGCTGGGTTTTAGGTGTAGCCATTTTTCAGAGCACAAGATTGGTAAATCATCATGTTTGAAATGGTGGTCCAAAGAAAATATGGTATCATTTTAATTTATAAAACTATATTTATTGTGTATTTTAAACTATATAACAAAATAACACTGAATTTCTAAAATTAGCTCATAAAACCTTTTTAGGAGTAACTTAAAACTCTTAAATATTTGAATGTTATTAAAAAAAAAACATTTTTTAACCTGGGTCTCAAAAATAAAAAAATTTAAACAATTTTCAAATATTGTTTAAATTTTAAATTTTTAAAAATTTAAAAAAAAAAAAGTTAAGGTTTTTCTCGCTTTATTCAAGACAAAACTGACAAAAAGGTAAAGGGAACGAAAATGTGTTTTATCACGAAAATGTAATGTGTTTTATCACAAAAATGTAATGTGTTTTATCATGAAAATGTAATGTGGTATATCTCGAAAATGTAATGTGTTTTATCACGAAAATGTAATGTGTTTTATCACGAAAATGTAATGTGTTTTATCTCGAAAATGTAATGTGTTTTATCATGAAAATGTAATGTGGTATATCTCGAAAATGTAATGTGTTTTATCACGAAAATGTAATGTGTTTTATCACGAAAATGTAATGTGTTTTATCTCGAAAATGTAATGTGTTTTATCACGAAAATGTAATGTGTTTTATCACGATTACCTAGTCGTAAAAATAAAAAAAATAAAAAAAACTCGTTCTTAATGATCATCAATCATTTATTTTGTTAATTGTACTTGGTTTTAAAGGTACTTTAAGGATTGTGTATAAAGTAACATTTTAAAAATGTATCTGAATACAATCACAATAAAAACAAAGTAACAACTTGATTTTGTAAAAAACAAGAGTGTATTAAACTGAGTATTACAAATATAATTTTGTATTTATATGTTAATCAAACAGCGTTACTATCTATAAAAAATGATTTATAAAACCTAATTAAAAAAAAAATGTGTTTCACAACTTGTATGACGTTAATCTCAAAACGGTCCCATACTTTACTTTGATACAATAACAATACAATAATGAAAAAGTCATTCTGTCATCAATCTGTTTAAGTTTCAATTCAAAAGTTTTCTTTTAAATAACTTTTCGTTAAATTTTTCTTTTAATAAATGACACTTTTGTTGCCAGCTAAAGTTTCCATTTCGTTCAAACTTATTTTCCGGTTCGGAAATAGACATTTTGATTTGCAAAAAATGCTTTTAATAAATTTGTTGAATCCTGGATGCATTGCGTAAAATATAATTGGATTAACGCAAGAGTTTGCTACGTTAAAAACTTTCAAAAAAGAGTTTAAGTTAAGTACTTCTTTTGATCTATTTATACCTGAACCTATTAGCCATGACATCAAGAATACAAAATGAAGAACATCTCTTGGTAGCGTCAAAATAAAAAACACAATTGTCATGACTACTAATAATCGAATAATTCGGTTATTATCTTTCTGCCGCCGTTTGCAATCGCTTATGGTCTGCATTTTTATTGGGGTGCTAGAGGAGCTCAAAACAAGTCTCTTAGATACTATACGGTAATTGGTAAAATTGATAACAAATAATAATGTGATGTCATTTACCAAAAAGTAAATAATTGTTGGAATACTATACGCTTTCTTACTTGGATCAACTACAAAGCATTCTTTTTTTATATTCAATGAAATGTTTATGGAATAATAAACGTTGATGACCAGAGCGTAGAACAGAACTAAAACAATGCTTATTTTTATGTGAAAAAGTTTGAAATGTTTTTTTAACGGATAAACAATAGCTCGATGCCTATCGAATGATAGAACGGCAATAATTCCACCAGACATTGTTGTAGCAACTGTTCCTAAAGGAACTAGTATTTTGCAACTCCAATAACCTAAGTGCCATTTATAATCTGTTACAATCCAATACATATATAAAATAGGGTTTAAAAAAGCAGCAAAAAAATCGACAATTGCTAACACGCTAAACAAAAACTCAGAAACTCTGCGCTTTTCGGTTGACATCCCTAAATGTCTATCTTTTACATGGAAATAGTAAAGTACTAACGCATTACCAATTGTACCAACCAAGAAAATAACTGAAAATAGTATTAAGGTTGTTATATTTACTGTATTAAATCTTTCAGTTTTAACTTCTTCATTGAATGTTTTTGTTAAAGATAAGTTCGTCAAAAATGTGGCGTTTATCATATCAAGTGTGGTGTTTATCATTCTTTTCAACAAAAAAACTAATTAATAAGTAATTACAACTCTTAATACAAAAATGAAAATCATTTTAATACTTCATTATTATAATTAAACAAACTTTTAAATAAAAAAGAGTTATTACACAAAAACGAGGAAGGATGTTTTAACTATCAATAATGCTATTTTATATTCTTTATTTAACTATCGATTGTTATGGATGGTAACGCAGTTATTGCTTACTACATATTGTCTGTGTCTTTTGACTTGTTGAATAATTTATAAATTCATTAAATTATAATTCACATTTTAGATTTGTATTTATATTTATGTTAGCTACATTTATAAAACACACACGCACACAAAATAAATAATTAACGAATAAATATATTATTATAAATATATCAATAATATAAATCTATGAAATGTGTTTTACATTGTAAGTATGAGTTAATGAAATAAAAAAGTATGTTATATATTAAAAAAGCGGTTGCAGAAGGAGGATCATTGGTTAGTAAACATTACAAATGCATTAAAATGGTCAAAATCTATAAATAGTAAACTTTTTATTTTAAATTTTTGAATTTTCATTAAAGGTCTCCACTCTAAAAATATCCCGTCTAAATGGATAACATAGCTAAACATCATTAGAATTGTTGTTTTTTATAATGCTCTTTGTACAAATTTGTTATGAGTTTGATAAATATGATATATATGCAATATATAAGTATAATTTACTTAATGCATGCAGCATATATGCGTTATATAAGTTGTTTTTCAAAAAATTAGTTTTTTATTAAAAACGTAAAATTGTGTCATTTGTTTGATAAATATAATATATATGAAATATACTTGCAATATATTAGAACACATTCATTATATATGCAATATATAAGTAATATATGCAATATTCATGCAATATATTCAAATAAAGTAAACTTTTTTCTATTGCTCGAAAAATTATTTTCTCGATTTGACGATGATTTGTTTTTATAACAAGGAAAACAATGCAAAATTTAAATCTCTATATAAATTATTTTTGGTTGTGTTTTATGTATATAAATTCATTCTTGGTCAAAATACATTTTCTAAGACATACTTGTCTTATATATACTAATGAGTTAACATATACTAAGTATATATACTAATTATATATACTAATTATGTATATATATATATATATATATATATATATATATATATATATATATATATATATATATATATATATATATATATATATATATATAAATATATATATATACATATATATATATATATATATATATATATATATATATATATATATATATATATATATATATATATATATATATATATATATATATATATATATATATATATATATATATATATATATATATATATTAGTGATGTGCCGGGTACCCGGTTCGGACCCGGGGACCCGGCAATTCGGCTGTTTTACCGGGGACCCGCTATCGGCCATTTTGTTGCAGTACCCGGCACCGGGTATCTTCAAATTGATTTTTCCTTTAGTTTAAACTTTAACCATTAAACTTCTTGATGTAAGTCTAAGAGTGTTATGTAGTCGATAACCACAAAGTTCTATTAACTTAAAACAATCTAACTTAAAATATTTTTTAATACATTTCTGCAAAAATATTTATACGGATACAAAAACTGTAACGCTAAATGAAATAATTCGAGAATACGAATAAAAAGAATGGAAAAAAAAGTTTTAAAATAGCTTCTTTTTATTCTGTTAGAACACAAGATAATTTTGCCAAGTTTTTATTCCAACTTTTAAAAAATGGACTCGGCGCCGAGTCCCCGGACTCGGACCCGGTTTTTTCAGCCGGGTACCCGGAATCGGAGACTCGTCATATACTGGTTCCGGCACATCTCTAATATATATATATATATATATATATATATATATATATATATATATATATATATATATATATATATATATATATATATATATATATACATATATATATATATATATATATATATATATATATATATATATATATATATATATATATATATATATATATATATATATATATATATATATATATATATATATATATATATATATATATATATATATATATATATAGTTATTATATGTTAGCACATTTTGGAAAACGTGACACCTACTCGCGCCGGCCTTGCATTCATATATATATATATATATATATATATATATATATATATATATATATATATATATATATATATATATATATATATATATATATATATATATATATATATATATATATATATATATATATATATATATATATATATACATATATATATATATATATATATATATATATATATATATATATATATATATATATATATATAATGAACTACCAAGATGTTTTTAAGTAATTGGTCATATTAATATGGTACAATTGTACCTCCAAAATATCGTTTTTATGTTTACTGTTACTGTTTGCCCACTGATTGTAACTCTACAGCTTTAAAAGAAATTTTATATTTACATTTGTGGAATTTACATTTGTTATAAAACCCAACCCAAAGGAAATTAGCGGCTAGTAAGCTTTATAGCTATCTAGCTCTAAAAACAATACAGCGACTAATTTATATAAAGAATTTATCTGAAATTTCTTTCGTTAAAACTCTCTTTTTTTATGATTGTATAAATTACTGATATAAAAAATAAACACTATAATATATATAAATATGTATATATACATATATAATATATACTATAATAGTATAATAAATAGTTAAGGTGGTACCCGAAAAATATATCAAAATTTGATTAGAACTAGAATAAACTTTCATTTTTGGGATATAAATAGATATTTAAACATATTTTTAAAAATATTTTTACACTTGAATTTTTATGTACTACTAGCCAAATATAAAGTAAAACAACCAAATATTTATATATATAATAAAATCTATGAATCGTTTTAACGTGAAGAGTATATATTAAACATAATAAAATTCATTCGATGGTTTTGTCCAACGCGTTTTAGTTTACGAATTTTAGTCATATCAGCTTTCATAAATGACATGTTTTTGATAGTTGTTTATGCTCGGCTTCATTTTCGAAGATGCAAATTTCAAATAACTCGTTATCGATAAAAAAGTAAAAAAAAATTGAGTTTTGAGAAGTTAAAATTATTTCAAAAAAATAAATAATTTTGATTAGTTAAATTAATTTTGAAAACTAAATTGAATTTCGAAAAAAAAAAAAAAATTCGATTAGTTAAATTGATTTTGAAAATTTAAATTGAATTTTGAAAAGTAAAAATTTTTTCGAAAAAAAAATTTCGATTAGCTAATTTAATTTCGAAAACTAAATTGTATTTCGAAAATTTAAACTGAATTTTGAAAAGTGAAGATAATTAAAAAAAAATAATTAAAAGATAAATTAATTGGACCGTCTATTTGCGTTCAGTGAGCGTGCACGTCTACACACACACACACACACACACACACACACACACACACACACACACACACACACACACACACACACACATATATATATATATATATATTTTTTTTTTTTTTTTTTTTTTTTTTTTTTTATGAAAAATGTTCCCATAAATAACTTTTATTCAAAGTGAAAAGTACATTTATCGACTGGTGTTAGAAAAAAGATGCAGCAAAATTATCGTAATTCATCTGACTTTTTGGCTTTGGCCTTTTTTAGTCTTATTTTAATACTAAAATAATTCTAAATCTACAACAGCTAACACATTTAACAAAACTATGGCTCAGATTAAAGATTTGCACATTTAATTATTTCAATGTAAAAAAGTTACTTTTAAATGTAAAATAATAAATTCATTTACATTAAAAGTAAACCATCTAAAAAAAAATTAAACTACATTAAATCAAAAATCATCTAAAATTAAATTACATAAGATTATATTGCATGACTTTTACTTGTAAAAATAACGTATAAATGAAAATATGATGTTGTTCATATAAATAATATTTTTTACATTAACAAATTTTATAAGTATTTATTAAAAGATTCATATTGATATTGATTGTTTTTGAAAATGATTTTATTCTGGTGTATTTAAAAGATTGTTAAATACAGTGTCGTGGCTAGTAGATAGTAAGTCCTAAACTTTTGTGCTAATGGGGTATTCATATGGATGAAATACATCCCGTCTAAACGGCATAGAAAAACAACCGAGAGCCCTCCTTTTTTTGTGAAACTCATTAAATTTGAACATTGCGTTCAGATGTAAAAATCATTTTTTTTTCTTTTTACAAAAATCATTACACATTTCAAAAAAATAGTATTTACATATCTTTAGTTTGTATATATGTACACCACACATATTTACAATACCTAAAGAAAGTTCAGAATGCTGTTATGCGCATGCGCGTTTGACAGTGGGTTTAAAAAAGTAATTTAAAAACTCGTGGTTTGTAATAAAAAGTGCTGGATATTAACCCATGCTTTTAAAAAGTCCGTTGCTCTAAAAAGTTCGTTGCAGGACTGAGCTACTAGGGACTTGCTTGTGGTTGTCGTTGAAAATATATATTAATAAATTAAAATAAAATTATCTAGTTGTGAGGAAACTCACAGAAGACTATGAAAATCTTTAAACTATCTAGTTGTGAGGAAACTCACAGAAGACTATGAAAATCTTTAAATTATCTAGTTGTGAGGAAACTAACAGAAGATGAAAATCTTTAAAACGCAGTATAAACTATAAATAAATTATAAAGCATAAACTATAAAGTAAAATTTACAAAATACACATTAACTTTTTGAGGTCTACTTAGTAATATTTAGTAATATTTACTTAGTAATATCTACTTAGTAATATTTTACTACGTATAGTTGTCATTTACATCGCCAAGACAAGATCTCGTCTATGGACAACCGGAATTCCTATCAGGTGGGGTGAAAATTCTTCATACAAACACTAGATGAAAATTAGCCCGGCTAGAGGTGTTTAAGAAATAAAAGTTAGCCCGGAAGAAAAAGAAAAAGAAGAAATGAAAATAAGCCCGGCTAAAAGTGTTATTACGAAATTCAATAAGCATTTATTGC